TTTCATCGGAAAACCATGTCCCATTCACCCTACAGCCTTGATCTTGCCCCTTCACACTTCTTTTTGTTCCTCAAACTCAAAAGAACATTGAGTCCCTCAAGGATGCCAAAGCTACCATTTGACATGGTATGGATCAGGGTACAGAATTCTTCAGGGTAGGATCAGAGAGAGGGAGACAGTGCCTTCAGAAGTGGATAGCTCTAGTTGGAGACTCTGTGGAGAAACAAGAGCTTCACATTTTGATATTTATGTTTAATAAAGGTTTCAGTGATTTTGTAGCCATACTTTTTGGGTTACTCTCATATTTCAATGGAAGTTTATCCCCACCCTAGGGTAAGTCCTAAAAGAAACCAGGTTTAGAAAATATGTTCTCAGCATATCATAGTATACACAGTATCTTCTAAGTATGTTATAGAATTGAATTTGTGTATATTTGTAAGTGAATTTTTATACCTTTTATTTATACTTTGTAAGAGCTAAGGTGAAATATCACAGTTATAAGTAATAGTATAGTTGAGGTTTTAGGTGTAAGGAAACATTCAGAGTGGATCCCTATTATTCCTTTCTATATGACACAAAAGAGTCACTATTCTGCACCCCCCCTTACCCCCAGCAACAGTGGTATCTGCTGAACATTTAGATGGAGGTTGGGGGAACATAAGGTTGTTTGCTCTTTCCCTATATAAAGCAAGCACAGCCACAGAAATCAACTTCAGTAAGGAGGAACTGTCTGCAATTTAAGAGGATTTAGTTAGAGCGGTTATGCAGGCACAGATGTTAACTGATACTTAGAAATCCCCTTGGAATGAGCAGAAATTTCAAATAGAGGTAGACATAGAGTGCTGCGATCCTTAGATTTGTTTCTTTAGAATTGGCAAGCACAGCAAACATCTAGTGTTGCTTGAAAGGTAGGATGATAGTTGGCACTGTGGTAAGGTAGAATTGAGAAAGCCTCTCCTTTTGCCATGTCTCTGCTTATCAGCCCTTAGGTCTTTCTTAAGCACTAGCGCTGAAGAAGTAAGGACCAGCATTGAGACTGTGGGGCTGGCTTGTCCATCAAAGTGGAATGTTTGCACCTGGGTCTTGTGATGCCCAACATTTGTTTCCTCTGGCAAGGGTAGGAACGCTTAGTACACCTGCCCAAAATGATTAAAAGCAATGCGGTCAGTCAGTCCTGATCAATGGAGTCCTGAACAATATATATATATATATATATCCTTACATATATATATGTTGTTGTTGTTAAGTACCGTCGAGTCGGTTCTGACCGACTTACCCTAGGTAGCAGCCCAGTGCTTGGCTCTAATAAATTACCTATTAGTTATGCTTCTGATTGATGATGTGTTGCCCTGACTTCAGGGTGGAGGGGTGGGGGAGCAACTCTACATACTGTGCATCTTCTGTATCTTGTACCTTTTGTGGACACTGGTCATTCTTGAGTTACCTACTGACATTATTGTCTGCATTTTTAAAGCTGACAATGTATGATCACACAAAAAGGAAGATTATCCCTTTTAGTGTCGGGTCATGGGACATCTACCCATCCCGGCAGCAGTATAGGAATCTCAGGAGAACCCTAACCATACAATATGTACTAGTTAGTGACTAGAAAGTAGTCAAAGGTGCAGTGTGTTACAGCTCAGAGACTAAGGAAAGCCTAGTCTAATACAGCTCTTCCTTTTTGTATCCCTAATCAGGTTCAACATTTCTACACCTGCTTTCCGAGGTTGCATGAAAAATCTGAAGAAAACGAGCGGTGTTGTTAGGTTGAATGATACTGTGGGGGTGACAAAAAAGTGCTCAGAAGACTGGAAGGTGAGTGAAGAGTTCTCCATGAATATGCTGCAGAATGCAGAGCTTCGCATAGGTGGGCTTCTCAACCAACCCATCTCTGGTCTTCAATAACATATCAACTTCTGACTGTTTTTTGTTTCTGGTAGCATAGAGTAAAATGGACTAAATACTTGCAAGATCTAGAACCTCTACAGACTTACACAATAACTTTGCAAGAATGTAAAGAAACCAATCATACATACAACACTGAGTGATTGGTAATTTATCATGCAGTAAAGTAAATTTTACTTCTTCCTGAGGCAATATACATCACATTGATTAGTTCTAGTGTAGTGATATGGGTTAAGACATGGTATTTCAGTCACAAAGTCATTAACATGCCAGTAATTTTCTCCATGTTTGCATTTCAGCTTGTGCGATCGGCCTCTTTCTCCAGAGGAGGGCAATTGAGTTTCAGCAATTTGGACCTCCCATTGCCAAACAACTTCCAGGTCTCATTCGGGTTTCAGACCTTTCAACCCAGTGGCATATTGTTAAATCATCAAACACGGGTATGAAATACTGCATTAATATTGAACAAGATTCAAACTTAAATCAAAGTCTGATGTCAAAGACAGTAGAGATATTAGAAGGTAAATTAGTTGGGCATTTTATCATCATCATATCCCAAATACTATTATATGCAAGGGTGAGTAAAAATGTTTTGCTACTGGAGTTCCAGTTCATA